CGCGGGAGCGTCCGACTTCCCGCAGAGCTACGACCGCGACTACTACGCCTCGCTCAAGGCCGCGTACGCGCACGAGCCCAACGTGCACATCTACGCCAAGGACGACTACGCCCTGGACCCGCACGTCCCGCCGTGGCTGTCGGACGACCTGGCCGTCGACGTCGCCGCCACGCGCGCCCGCGTCCGCGCCTCGCCGCGCCACCCGCAAGAGCTCGACGCCCCGCACCGCCCGTGGCGCGTCGCAGACCTCCACTCGGAGCAGGACCAGCGCGACTTTCTCCACACCTGCAGGAGGGCAGACCCCGTGTCCGGACGCGTCTGGAGAGACCCCATGCCCGAGTCCGACTTTCAGCACGACCCCCACCCCGACTCCATCCATCTGCGTACCGTCGACGACGGCCCGAGCGCGCGCCGCCACGCTGACGACGCCCTCCGCGACGCCCACCCCAAGCCCCTGAGGAGAACGAAAACCTATCGCACTGAGGACGACGAGTTCCGCGACGTCCTGGCGAGCGCAAACCGCATGCAGACCGACCACTTGGACGAGCCCGCCGCCACCACGGAGTGGGGCCATCGCGTGCCCCCACCGACCGACGCAGAATTGAACCGCTGGAGTAAAGCTGCGGAGGAACGCGGCGGCAATGCCACCGCACATGAGTCCTACTTCCTCTCCCCGACCGCCAGCAGGGAGCCCGCCCCCGACCCGCCGCCCGCCGTCCCGCCCCAGAGGGACTGCCTGCTCGCCGCCCACTACGCCGAGTGGGAGGGCCACGTCCGCGTCTTCTGCGTCGCCAAGGACGGCGCCGTTGAGGAGGGCCACGCCGCCCGCGTCACCACTGTCACGAAGGCCGTCGGGGGAGGCGTGCAGTGGGGGACCGTCGTCCTCATGGACGGTGTGGAGGTCGTGTCGGAGACCGCGTTCGAGGCCCTCAAGTACCCGGACGACCTGGTGTCGGGGAGGGCCGTCGGCGCGGATGGGAGCTACGTCCAGATGGCCGCGAAGGAGGGCGCCGGCGTCTACGCGGGCGTGTCCGTCGGCGACGGTTTTCTGAAGAGGCTCACGGGCGTTGCGTGTCGCGCCGCGATGGAGCTTTGTCTGGTGGAGGGCGCGCGGCGGGATCGTGTGGTGTTGTGCACCGGTGAGGACGGCGTGCGGTTCGAGCGCGTGGTTGTGCTTTCGGAGAGGAAGGCCGGGGGGGGCCCGGTGGAGGCGGGCAGCGCGGTCGCGGCCGTGTCCGTGGAGGCGCTGCGGGGGGAGTGGGCGGGCGCGGGGCTCGTGCTGCTGCCGGAGTTCCCGCCGTTTCCGAGCAAACTGGTGCGGACGAGCGGCCGCTTTGCCGCCGTAGACGGCGCGACGGAGGACCAGGTGAGCTGGTTCGAGCACGAGACGGCCGACCCGCCGGACGCGCAGTCGAAGCGCCGCCTGCGCACCGTGGCCAAGAAGAAGGTGTCGCGGCGTGTGGCGGCTGCGCGCGCGCACGACCGCCGCCGCCTGGCGCGCTGCGACGCGCTGTGGCGCGACGCTGTCGACGGACGCGTCGAGACGCACGCGTGGAAGATGACACGCGCGCCGCAGGGCGTCACGGCGATGGCGTCGCCGAGGCTCGGCAAGTTTGTCGTCGACTATTGCGCCGTGGCGCTGCCAGGCGGGCTGCTTGTTACGATGCCCGCGGGCAAGGCGAGCCCCAGAATGTGGAATACCGTGAGCCTCATGCAGAGTAGCAGGCCCAGCAGGAAGAGGGTCACGGCAGGGAGGAACGAGGAGGGCGGCCTGGTGGGCGCGCTTTTCGTTACTGAGCACGTGGAACAGGAGGAGTTGGCGGACGAGGCGGCGGCGTATGTATAAAAGGGAGTGCGTCGGTCGGAGGTTCTCACAACAGAGAGCCACAACACAGTTCTGAAAGCGACTCAGACAGCGGAAAGCCGCAACACAGTTGCATCTGCAGGGGTTAGAGCTGTGACTGTGACAGTGGCTGGCCGCGGAACGCTTTCCGCAAAGCCACAACGGTTGTGGCTTTCCGCAAAACGGATTGCACTTGAGCACAACACAGATCTGACTCAACGTAGACTTGTGTTGTGGCCTCCTGTTGTCTTCGTCTACAATAGTCGTCTGTGCTTAGGCACAACACAGTTCTGACTCGAGACAGATCTAACGTTGTGGCTCTTTGTTGTTTTCGTCTGATCCTTTTACGTGGCATGCGTGGACGACGTGTACTTTTGAGATCAGCTGCCCAATCAGATGGCTGGGTGACGGTGGCCAATGGTCTCGGCGAGCTTGGCATTTTCTCAGCGGATCACAGGACCTGCCCTTAACTTTCCATGCTGCCGTCCCCTTCTCACTCCCCCCTAAGCAACGTACCTCCCCTTGCACATCGCAATGTCTCTGCGATCAGCCTCCACCCCAGTCTTGCGCGCGGCCACGAGCGTCCGCACGCTAGCCAACCGCGCGCACCTCGCCGTAGGGAAGCGGGTGCGTCGTGGCGGCGGCGTGCCGGGCGCGCGGTACGGGGGCAAGCCGTCCACGGAGATGGCGCACCGGTCAGAGTCGGTGCTGGAGTCGATCCGCACGCCGAAACCGGTGTTCAACCCGATCAAGAAGTGGCGCGTGCTGCGCGGCGATCTGGTGCAGGTCATCAGCGGGCCGGAGCGCGGCAAGCGCGGCCGCGTGCTGGAGGTCGTGCGCGCGGCCAACCGCGTCGTCGTCGAGGGCGTGCAGCTCGTCAACAAGTACGCCCCGCAGCCGGACTCGGAGCGAAAGAAAAAGGTCCGCACGGAGGCCCCTATTTATGTCTCGCGCGTCGCAGTCGTGTGCCCCGTCACAGATAAGCCCACGCGCGTTTCCTATCGGTTCTTGGAGGACGGGACTAAGGTTAGGGTGTCCAAGGCGGGCGCCGTGATTCCTAGGCCCGACATTTTGAAGCGGAGGAGGAAAGAGAGACCGGATGATAGTCCCAAGGATACGGCGCCAACGGTTGCGTTGGAGAGGACGTTTGAGGATGAGGATGGGCTGTACGACAAGTATGCTGGCTTTAAAGCCCTCATCGATAGCAAGGCATAGGTCCCTCGCCTGTTTCATTCCTGCGATCGCTTCACTGAACGCTGCTGTGTTCACGCAGTGCTGTGCGTGTCATCGAACTGCTCCTACAGGGTACCTGAGTGCAATGCCCCGCTTTTTTTTAATTCAAGTCCGGGTTACCACGACTATGGAAGTTTTACGGTTTGAGGGCCTAGAAAGAGCCATCTGTTGTGACAATTTCGCTGGCTGGCTGATGGAAGATATCGCCGTCATGTCCTGGAAGCCCCTCGCAGCATTCCGGGCAGGCCAAGGAGTTGCTTTCTGAACACTCGGGAGGCCTACGGTTGAATGCATGTCATCTGAACTGCAAGGCATGGGGTGCAAAGGGCGTGCCTACATGAGAGAGGAAAGGGGGGGTCATTGGATATGTTGCGACCCAAGAACAGTCTGTCTAGCTGGCCTACAGAAGGCGTATGCAACCGAGGAACAGCTTCCGTAGTCCCGGGGATTTTTACTGTACCAGATCGTTTCTGGTTGTCAGAGAACCTGGAGCGGCTACATTAGTAGTACGCGATTGAAATACACTAGTTGGTCTGCACCAGGAAGCAAGGCCTTTTCAAAATGCACTCTTCCAATTAAAAACTGTTCGCACTTTAGGTAGTACTGCTCTTGTGACAGCCAGCCTCAGTGCATCTGGTCATGTGAACGGGGGAAGTTGTGTTTGAGATTCAAGAATATCTGCAAGCGCTCTCGTTTACTGTCTAAAGGTTGGACCTAGCGGCATCATCGGCACCTGACCCCGTAAGTGCGATATCCACAGACGGTCTCAGCTTGGCGCACTCAGCGATGGCCGGATGGATCTTGTGGTTGAGGAACTCATCCATGAGTCCAGTATTGAGAGAATCCTCGTTATCGATAGCGGTGTAGGCACGTTGCGTCAAATTGTAGTCGAATCGTGGTGCCCATTTCTTGCTTCCCGTGGCCGCCGTGAAGGAGCAGTTGAAGACCATGTATGCGACGCCTCGCGCGTGCAGGTAAGGGGAAAGGCTGTCCACAGATTCGATGACAGACTCATTGATGATCTCTGACAGCACATGGCCCTTCTCGAGGAGGACATCGATCTGCGCCATCATCGTCGCACAGTACACACCAGCCGCGAAGGGATCGACTGGCGGGGGTGGAGACGAGGATCGCTTCGAACGGACGGTCTCGCCGACCTTCCACATCTGTGTGCCGTCAATCGGTGAAATGACCGGGAAACGTTTCGCCCTCATGCCCGAGTTGATCACGGAGCGGATCTCGTTTCCGCACGCCACGTCCTCGTAGCACTCAATGACGATCTCATATGCGGGCTCATATGCCGCGCAGTATGATTTGGCGAACACAGCCTTGTCGGCGTCGTTCATGTCCTCGTATACGGCCTTGATGCCCCTCTTCGAAATGATCTGGGACAGGGGTCCGGTGATGGACTCTGTGGAACGAATGAAGGCCTCCTCCTGATCCATGCCTTGCATGACGAAGCGCCTCCACAGGGACTCGCAAATGCCGTGGATGGCGCCGAGTAGAATGCAACGCTCGCCGAAGATGTCCGAGCGGTACTCGTTGCGCAGGGTGGTCTGGAAGCAGAACGGGGCGCCGATGGCGATAGCCCATCCGATAGCAAGATCGGTGGCAGTGCCGGTGGCGTCATTCTCGACGGCGAACGAACAGTTGATTCCCGCACCATTCTCTGTCTTGCCTTGCACGTACAAGCGTCGGACAGACGGACCCATGCCCTTCGGGGCGACGAGGATGACATTAATATCCTCCGGAAAACTCTCGCCTATTGAATCCATATGGCCCAGCAGAAAGCCATGGGACAAACCAAGCGTGGCACCCGGCTTCATGGCCTTGAAGACATCCTTGTAGCACATGGCGGTGGCGGCGTCCGAAATGAGCAGGACAACAAAGTCGCTGTCGGAAATGACCTTGTACATCTCACCCAAGGTACCGGATTCCTTGGTGAAGCCAGCCTTCTCCGCTTCCTTCATGCTGGAGCTGCCCTCCCTCAAGCCAATGGTGACGGTAGCGTCGACGCCGGCATCCTGGAACGAGTCTCGCAGGTTTTGAGCCTGGGCGGGGCCCTGGCTTCCCCAGCCGATGACGCCGACCTTCTTGACGCCGGTAAAGGCCTTGGGCAGAGCCGGGAAGACGTCGCGGCCGCCGCGCACAATGTACTCGGTGGTGCCGGCGAGCGTGATCTCCTCCTTGGTGAAGCAGGCCGTGGAGAAATCTGCGGCTTTGGCGCGCTCCTCCAACACGGTCGGCGCGGCCATCATGGCCGGCGTGACACGCTGCGAGGGCACGCCGCGCGGGACGACGCGAAGGGACGTGACCGCGGGGCAGAACAGGCTGCTGGTCGTCGGCGCGCGGCCGAGGAACACGGAGGGGACGAAGGCAGGCATGGTGAGAGACGTGGATCGGGGTGCGGGTGGCGCGGGGGTGTGAGGTGAGGTTGCCGGTTGGCGGTGAGACGACGTCGGGAGGCCGATCGGTTGAGGTGAGGAACGAGAGAAAGTGTGATAAGGGTAATCATGCATGCGGGTGTTTTTTCGCCAACACAATCTCCTTGTGCTTGCCTGGACTTGATCCATTCCGCCCGTTTCACTTTTCAGATCATGAAGCCTTTCCGCTTCCGCCACGTCTTGTTTCTTTTGCACATGCCCTACACGTCTCAACGCCTCCGCGTCCAGTACATACAGTACGTACAGTACATGCTGCACACAATGTGTGCCGTAGACCTTACAGTAGCGCTGTACGGCGTACAGCACTACTGTAAGCCCACTGTCCACAAGCCACACCAAATAGTGTTTGCCAAACACATCTACTGTAATTCAACAATCGCTTTCCCATCCCATCTCCTCCTTGTTCTTGGCATTCCTCTTCGCCTTCTCCGTCAGGAACTTCCTCCTCCCCTTCAAGAACCCCCAGTCCCCCGCGGGCACGAGCTCCTTCAGCCCGGCCTCCACGTCGGCGGGAAACAGTCGAACCATATTCCAGAAAATCCTCGCCGACACCTTTGCCATCTCGGCCGCCCTGAGTCTCTCGCGATCCTCCTCGGCCTTCTCCCCGTCGAGCACATCCTGAAACGCCGCCGCGAGCGGCTCCCTGCCATACACCACCACCATCTCCCCCGCCATATCCGCCACCCACTTATCCCCCGCGACCACCTATGGAGGGCAGCGTCGCTGAGATTTCCGCCATGAGATTCCGTGTGTACTATGCCCTTCACCACTTCACACAATCGAGCACGATTGAGCCCGGCAGCTTCAAACACGCGGCTCAGTGCTAAGTCATGGCCTGGGAATTGTGGTGAGAGCCCTTGGCTTTGATTCAATTTTTCTCCTCCGTGTGATAGCACTAACCCACACAAGCATGACAGGAATCGAAGAATAGTGGCGTCCAGTACTACACTGCTCGTGGGTTCTACGTCAGGGTCACTGATGATGCCTCTCGCTTTCTGATACATTTGCACGACTTCATCAAACTTTTCGTCGGTCTGTAGTATCATGAATCCCAGGGCACCAGCAAGTGGAATCCATCTCCGTTCTGCGTACCCAGTGCCAAGTGA